GAATTCCGGTTGTAGTCGTAGACAATTTTAATCTTTTCATTCTCATTATTGTCGATCTGTTTTCCAATTGTTGTCGATCTGTTTTCCAATAGGTTTATCCATATTGCTCTGACGATATCGAAATCTTTACAATCGGAAATTCTTTAACAATTACAAAACCAATATCATTATGGATAGAATAAATCGAAATTACAAAACATGAACACGTATAAAAAAAATCAATATTACATAATCATCAACTATTGAGATTTTTAGATTTATAACTCCCACTTAATGGTTTGGGAGTTATATAAATGACAAATTGCTTAATTACTCTTGTCATTAATATATGAGTTATATGTGAACCTAAAGAAAAAATAGAATATGATTGGTTGAACTTCGTTAACAAAGTTAACATAAAAATCTTGGTTAGTATTTGAACCTAAGCTATATATATATATATATATATATATATATATTATTTACAATCGTCAGATCTGAACATTCATAAACGCCACGAGACTTCTCAATAATTACAAAATTGCCACCGTGCAACTTTAGACCATTAGATCATTAGTTTATAAAGTTGATCAATGAACATAAATTGGTCTTACGGGTCTCACGAAAAACTCAGGGTCTCACGTGAACCCAACCTTATATATATATATATATATATATATATATATATATATATATTATGTGTGTGGGGTAGAAAGAGGAAACAATTACTAAATATACATATACCTTTGAAAAATACTTGCATTAATAGAGGAGATAAGGAAAAGGTGAAAAAAATAGGTTTGAAGGAATTCTTTTAGAGGTGAATGCTAATATGCTATCCGGTTATCACGTAGGAATTGCGTACGATTGTTTAAGTGCGCACTTATTACATAAGTTAGAAAACGTGTGAATTTTAATAAATGGACCCCACCCGGTTATCACATAGGAACCGGCTACGATTATTTAACAGCCCATTTATTAAATAGGTATCGAGAATATTTTAATAAATGAAATCCGGTTTTTTGTAAAGAATCGGTACTATTTCCCTTTCCTATATTCCACACACATACACTCTTGTTTATCATAACGAACCGATATCGTGAATAAACATTAGAACCCGTTTTTTGGTTAACCGGGTTATATTTAACTTCCTGTAGTAGTGAAAAAAAAAATATTTTTTAATAGTTTTTTGGAATAAAAATAAAATCTTTTTTAAACAATTCCAGCGGATTTTAATTAATTAATTAAAATTCGTCGAAAATGTTAATTATTTTTTTTTAAATAGACCAATTTGGTAACGGATTTGTGACGGTTTTTTTAAATAATAAATTAGTAATCCGTCAAAAATCCTTCAAAAGGTTATCGAAATAAATCTTTATTTTTTCTTACAAATCCCGTGATGGATTTGTAGGGAATTTGTTGTGGAAGTTAGCAAAAGTTGGCTTTTTCTCAACTTTTTTGGCATGCGTCGGCAATTTTCGACGGAATTGCCGCCAAAAAAAATCGGTCGGTGATACCAGTTTTTGAGTAGTGTAAGTCGGGGTACATTATATATAATATATCATCAAATGTAGAGACTTTTTTTTTATGAGAACCAGTGTATCATGTGTTTTTTCGTATTTTTTTTACATCTATGGCTAGAATTATTGTAGTGGTTAACATATATTTGTTTCATATGTGTATTTGATTCACAATGTTAAACTTTTTTGGCATGTTTGTGAAACAAAAAATACACGGAAAAAAGTTTCATAGAGTGAACCGAATAAATATATATATATATATATATATATATATTAATCAATCTATTAAATATTATAAACAAACTCTTAAGATAGAGATCCTCACGTATCTCATGAATATTAGAAGTTTTAAATAATTAAGCCACTCGTTAATACATTTTTATTGTGGGACCGTTACAACATTTTAACCATAATTTATGAAACTTGACAATGAAATGAAATGAACATCATGTACCCTCTATTTTTCGTGACTCATTGCAATTGGATAACGTCTATGAATTATTAAAGTACATGATTCTAAATGATACATGATACTGTGTGACGGATGAGGTCAAACCTTAAAACTCGAGAGTCATTGACTCATGGCGAGGCCACATCTTTTCTTCAAAATGTAAATTACAATGATAAATTTGTATATCATATCATATCATATATATATATATACATACATTTATATATCCACATATTTTTTACTGGTACTCTAATCTAATACCGTATACAAGTAGATTATATAATAAAAACTAAGTAAAAGGCTAAAAATATAAAAAAAATACACTTTTAACTCTTTAAATATGACTAAGCGGGTGTTTGAAATTGCTTATAAAAGCAACTTATTGACTCATTCTGGTATGACACCGGTAATAAGCACTTCTGAGTGTTTGGATAAACAGTTTATACCGGTGCCTAGGGCTGTAAACGAACCGAACGAACACGAACGGAGGCTTGTTCATGTTCGTTCGTTTAACTTAACCGAACAAACGAACGAACACGAACGGTAAACGAACGAAAATCTTTGTGTTCGTGTTCGTTCGTTTAGAAATAATGTGTATTCGTGTTCGTTTATGTTCGTTCGTTAACATGTTAAACGAACGTAAACGAACGAACATAAACGAACGGCCTAAACGAACATAAACTAACGGGCTAAACGAACATAAATAAATATTATTTGAATTCTAAGTAATTAAATAAAAGATTGTATATTAAATTTAATATATAAACGAACATAAACGAACGTAAACGAACGATAAATGAACAAACGTAAACGAACGGTAAATGAACGAACGTTCACGAACATAAATGAACGAACGAGACTCTTGTTCATGTTCGTTCGTTTAACTAAACGAACAAAAAAAATTGTTCATGTTCGTTCATTTATTAAATAAACGAACATAAACGAACTTCCCGCCGAACGGTTCGCTGAACGTTCGGTTTGTTTACAGCCCTACCGGTGCCAAACCGGTAATAAGAAGTTTTTGAAGAAGTTAAAACTCTTCTAACTTATAATAAGTTAATAAGTTTTTTTATAAAAAAACATTAGTTATTTTAAATAAACAATCTTAAACACCTTCTAAAATCTAGAATAAAATAACAAAATTGAAAAGTCATTGAAGTGGTTGTATAAGTAGCAAAGAGGTTCACCCAACTCCACACACTTCTTCTTGTTGTAGATTAAATATAGAGTAAACTACAATTTCATTTCATGTGGTTTACACATTTTTAAAAGTGGCTTCTAAAATACAAAGAGTGCTTAATGATCACTATAGTTTGTCTTTTGGTATACAAATGGTCTATTTCATTAACTTTGATAAATTTTGTGCATTAATTAAGGGGTCGTTTATCAAACACTTACCTGGTAAGTGCTTACCGGTAAAATTTAACACTATTATGCTTAAGACCCTTCTCCCTTAAGCATCATCCCTAAACCCACACCCCTCCTTCTCCAAAAAGATTTCATCCTTGTGCTAGCTTTGTTTCGACATCGAAGATGGCTGGAATACATAGTGAGAGCTAGAGATATGGTGGTGTGGTGGGAGCTGAAGACGACTGTTGGAGCGAGGGTGGCGAGAAGTGGATGTTATGATGTGTGTGTATGTATAGGTACATGTATACATATATAGGAAGTTTTAAAAAGAAATCAATCTCAACCATTCATGTAGATAAACAACACTTTAGATTAAGTCAGTTCCTAAATTTACTCTCAACCATAATGTATCTTATTTTATAACCGCTTCTGAATTTCAAAATGAACAAAATCAAAGCCAAAGATTTGGTTTGTAAAGCTTGCAATATTTACATAAACTGTATTTAAAATTTTCTCTAAATAATATGATTTTAATTCGAAATAAAATTAGAGAAATGGGCACAAGAACAAAAAAAAAAAATTCACTTAGGGGCCGTTCACTAAACACTTATTCGGTAAGCATTTACCAGTAAAATTTAACACTATCATTTACTTACCGGGTAATATTTTAATCCACCAAAATAGTATCGTATGCCACAATTTTACCATGTAAGCATTTACCATGGTAAGCATTTACCATGGTAAGAGTCTTCGCCCTCACTTACCGAGTAAGACTCTTGGTCCTTGTCTTGCTCTTACTAGGTAAGATTCTTGGTTTTTACCATGTTTATCCGGTAATGTAATGTGACTTGATGTTCACTTACCCGAGTAAGCGTTTGATAAACGGCCCCTTAGTGGCACTCCAAGTGACAAATTAGTAGGAACCACTTTCATACCAAAATGAAGATAATAGTGACCATTCTTGTACTATTTAAATTTTAAGGGACCACATTCAAAGATTTGTGAACTAAAAGGACCAAAAATTGTAGTTTTAATATACTAATTTTATGTTTTTTTAAATATTCTGTTAGGAACAAATTACTTAATAATAAGGTCTTTTAAAATAAAATCTGTATGGGAAAAATGTAATGAATTTTATCTTAGATGCACTTGGTTTGGTGAAACGGTTACGAAGGATTTGGATTTTGTAGAATAATTTGGAATTAGAGGGTTCTAGATTTGGAATCTTTTTTATATCTGGTTTATAGGATTTGGAATGTAATTAAATTTTATTATTAAAAAATAATTTATAAATAATTATAAAAATAATTAAATTATTTTTTTAATTGATTAAACAAATGTTTTTAACATATTTTAAAACAATATATATACGATTTTTATAAAATCTCATTAAATATCAACTACCTCTTAGGATTTCAAAATCTTTTACGTGTGTGATCCCAGTTAAATCCCAAAATATTAAATTCTAAAGATCTTTTAAACTAAAAATGAGATTAAAGGGGTGTTTGAAATTGTTTATTTAAAATAATTTATGTTTTTTTATAAAAATGTTAATTAATTTATTATAAGTTAAAATGATTTAACTTTTTCAAAAACTTATTGTTACCGAAAATGGTTTAAAGATATTTTTGGAATTATTAAATTTCCATAAACTTGTCATTCGTGTATGTGGTAGAGTGGTGTCAGTACCCACTCTTTGCTCCCAATCACGACTACCAAAACTCCCCCATGGCTATGGGTGTAACTTCCCTTTATAACCTTTCATGTCCTCCCTACTAAATGCTTCATTCCCACCATGTCCACCACCGTCTTTTTCTTCCTCCTCCTCCTATCCACCTCTGCCGCTGCCACCACCACCACCCTCGCCTCCGATGTATCTGCACTCAAAGCCATTAAATCTGCCATTAATCCCACCACCATCCCTTCCTACTCTTGCTTAGCCTCCTGGAATTTCACTTCTGATCCCTGCTCCAACCCTCACCTCACTCACTTTCTCTGTGGTCTCTCTTGCTCCGGCAACCGAGTCACCCAACTCACCTTCGACCGTGCCGGTTACTCCGGAACTCTCTCCTCATTCGTTTCTAAACTCACCCAACTCCTTACCATTGATCTCTCTGATAACAAATTCTCTGGCCCAATCCCAACTGCTCTCTTCTTTCTTCCCAATCTCCAGACCCTCATCCTCCGATCTAATTCCTTCTCTGGAACCATCCCACCTGCTATTTCCAGTCTCACATCAATCCAAACCCTAGACGTCTCTCACAATTCACTAACCGGGTCATTGCCAGATACATTGAGTTCACTCACCTTGACTCGGCTTGATCTGAGTTTCAATAAACTTACGGGACCAATCCCGAAACTCCCCAAAAACCTGCTTGAACTCGCAATTAAATCCAATTTACTATCTGGGTATCTATCAAAAACATCCTTTAACGAGTTGACTCAGCTGGAAGTGGTGGAACTCAGTGACAACTCGCTCACTGGAACAATCCCCGGCTGGTTCTTCCTCCAACCATCCATCCAGCAAGTCAATCTAGCGAATAACGGTTTCACTGGTATCGAGATCTTAAAACCCACCGACAGCAACCTCATCGCCGTCGACATCGGATTCAACAAAATCGCCGGATACCTATCGGCGAACTTCTCGGCGTATCCTATGTTGTCGTCTCTGTCACTCCGATACAACAAGCTTCATGGACCGATCCCGTCGGAGTACAGCCAAAAGGCGACGTTGAGAAGGTTGTTTCTGGACGGAAATTACTTAAGTGGGTTACCGCCGAAGGAGTTTTTCTCCGGGAAGTCGTCGGTTTCCGGCAGCTTAGGGGACAATTGCCTGAGGAGTTGTCCGACATCTTCGCAACTTTGCTTGAAATCGCAGAAACCATCGTCGATTTGCCAGCGAGCATACGGTGGAAAGGTGAAACCAAAGTCGTAGCGTCGGCCCATGTTTCGGGATTCCTTTTTTAGGGGTAGGATTAAATATATTTTATTTTCGTAATTCTATTCTATTTTATTATTTTTCATACCTGAAATAAAATCATTAAATTATGGATGTATTTTTATCAAATATTTTTTTTATTAACCTGAATATCCAACTTGCTATGCGAGCCGACTAATTTCACGATGACCATCTGCTTTGCAAATAGTCTGGAGTCAACGTATTTGAACATCTGTAGCCATAAGAGGGTTTTTATTACTCATTGGATTAAACTTGGGACCTCCTGATACTTTTGACCTTTGGAATCAAATTCAAATCATTTATTTTGATCCTTATTAACAAAAATAATCTGACATGTACAATTACTGCAACAAAATTTATGGATGTATCGTCAAAATTGTTTTTAGCTTTCAAAATTATGAAAAATACAATTTATTAAATTTTTGTAGTTTTTTATATTTTAAATTAATATATTTATGCTTAAAAATAAAAATAGCTGATGGCTGGGGCGGTTCGCGTTCTAAAACATTAACATGCAAGGATGATGAACCAACATCCACATCAGGTAGATAAAGTAATTTTTATACGATTAAGATTTTTAATTTTTTTTAATAAATAAATTATTGAATTGTTAAATACTAATTATTTATGTCCGTTAAAAAAAAACGTTAAGTAAAAGGCTAAAAATGTTTTAAAGTAAAAAGAATTTAAATCAGTTTTATCATTTTCAAACCTTGTGACATTCAAATCTCTCGTACCCGGTTTCATCGGGTCCCCTCATGATCCCATTGTCGTCTGCTCTCCTTCTTTTTTGATCTATCATTTTATGTACTAGGGGTGCTCATGGGTTGGGTTGATCGGGATGAAGACATTTGAACAACTCAACCCAATGCTTGCGGTTTGGAAAAATCTTAATTCAATCCAACCCAAACCAAAGTGTAACCCAACCCAACCTGTGCGGGTTGGTAGGGTTAGTCAGGTTGATACATTGGTATATTAAAATATTTTTCTAACCTTGAATATGTTATTTCTCTACTCATAATTTCTTTTTCATCATCAACCATTTGATACAACTTATTCATATTTCTTACATATATCACATTCAGTTAATTTTCTCAATTTACATATATATGTTCACAGTTACTGAATGAGTTATATAGAGATATGAATAGATTGAAAATATATGTATATGAAAAGCATACATGATAGTGTAATTGTCTAATGTATATATTAATAGAAATTCAACAATCATATTAAATCCAAGAAATAAAAGGATATCGGGTTCATCAGGTTGGGTTGAGTTCAAATAATAGTAACCCAATATCAACCCAATACCTACGGTTTGACAATTTTACAACTCCATTAGACATCGGGTTACTTCAGGTCGGGTTATTTTGTATTGGGTTGGGTTGGGTTGATCGAGTTGGTCGGGTTTTTAAGCACCCTATTATTATGTACCTCATTAAATTGTTTTAAAAAAAGAGAGAAGTGAAAGACAAAAAAAATATTAAAAAAGGGATGTATATAACTAAATTCTAAAAGTTCAATAGTTTATTTAATTAAAAAAAATCAGGGATTTAATCATTCAAACCGGGAACATTCAATGATTTAATTATTTACTAAAATAGTTCAGGGACATAATCATGTTAAGTAAGAAAGTTCATTTGGTTTTTATAGAAATTTTCTTATTTTTTATGTTTGTAATATTAATAAACGTTTCAAACCCTGAAGACTTAATTTTAAATCAAGCAAAGATAAAAAATGGTAGCACATAACGAGAACAATTGTCTCAACAATTATATGTTTTAGGAATAATTCAGTAAGGTCTTGTTTGTTTTTTATTTTCAGCTTTTAATTTATCATTTATATCTGATTTGATGAGACGTTTTAAAATTTAGACTTTTTTAGACCCTTTTTAACTCTTAAATTCATTTGAAAAAAAAATAAGTGGTTTCTTTAACACCTCTTATTCGACCTTGTTTTCCCTTCAACAACCATCACATTCTTTGGCTTCTCCACTCGTTTTCTCTTCGCCTCCAACTGGCTGGAACGACTGCAACTCCTTCCTCTTCCTCCACTCCGCCTCCGTCTCCGGCCGTCCATGAGCTTCCTTCACTGGAAAACGACGACCCATTTAACTATTTAAGCTCACAGTCTCATTCATCATCTTCTTCCCAAAAAAACCCACACCAGAATCAGAAGAAAAACCCCCTTTTCCCCCAAAATGAAACCACGATTTCTTAGAAACATTGACCATTTTCCATGGATTGATGGCGATTTGAACAAACGTCGCCACTAATTAATTCACATTATCAAATATAGACGAAGGTGGTTCCACACCTTTATCCCACTCTAGCCACCCCAATGGATGCAAAATCCCTCCAATTCTCGACTTCATGATCATAGTTGTCGATAATCCTTCCATGGTCGACCAAGGTACGTCGGAGCTGTTAGATAGTCCAATGGGGTTATATCACATTTATGGATAGAAATTCCTGAGTCCTCATTCGGGTCTTTCTTTCCTTGAGCTGTAATGGTGACAAATTGGTTCGGTAATGGCTGCCATGGCTTAATCTTGCAGTTCTGCAACACCACGGCGGAGTGTCCAAAGATGAAATCCATCGTGCTCGTGACGCCACGATCCCGATAAAATTGACAGTTGCTATGAAGATAAAGGGTGTCTTGGAAGGCATCGAATGAACATCTGTAGAAAATGGAAAGAGTTGAACTCGACCTCATCGCCACCGACTATTCTTTGGCTTCGCCAACGATGTTCTTGAACCCCATGTCCATTTCCATGAACTCTTATCCTGATACACCTCTTCATCATGATGATTGATTCATGCCCTTTTTCTGTCGGATCTTGTATATACATTAATATCGTATTCTTTGATTTTGAGTTTCTGTTAAGTTTAGTTGTTTTCACATGTTGATGTAAAGAAAAATGGTTTGAAATAGTTCTATTGATTCAGATTTCAGCCGTTTGTCAGTTCATAAAATTAAATAGTCTTTTTGATTCAAATTTTAACACCACCTCTAATAAATCAGAAGTAAAATAAAACTTCAGACTTCAACACCTCTTAAAAAACCAAACGGCACATAAGAGAAACTCAGATCTTGCTCCATATATTTAAGGTAACGTAGGATGTGAAATGCATAAAAATTAGTGTTCTCTATGTCTACTAATATACATTATTTTAATATAAAATTTTACTTTTTAAAATAATAGAGTATTTGAAAAGAGAGTTGGACTCCGATGATGATGAAAGTTATGGTGAGAAAGATAATAAGAGATCTCCACATTTGGATCAATCCTAATTGAAAATCAATACTAATGAGGTGTACTGAGATGTAAATGATCAATTCCAATATCGAAGCAATACATGAGGTGGGGGTGATATTAAAATTAATAAAAGGTCTAGATCTCTTCTTACGATTTTTATATTAACTTCTATTCTCACAAGATCTTTTGTCTTTGTAGAGACATCCTTACATATAGAGAATGAGATAATGTAAATTAATATAAAGAGTCAATGTAAATAGTACATTAGACCAGGGATAGATGTAGTCTACAAAAGGTAAAAAATAATTTTACTTAGGTTTGAAAAATAAAATTACACGTTTTACCCATTTGTTCCCCCAAGTCAAATTTGCACGGTGTCCTCGTTCTCGCCGACGATTACGCAGCCGTCGCCACTTTCCAACACGCAACCATCGTTTGCTTCATTGCTTGCTTCCACCATGACCACGAGCCATCGGCCCATCTCCAACTGTTCGTTCAAGTCTTCAATATTGTTTGATTAGATTTCTTCTCGTCTTATAATAGCAACAACAATTCGATTTCTACTTTCTCCTTACACATTCTGTTCGATTTCTTCTGTTAGGATGGTTTTCGATTTCTGTTTTATTGGTCATTATTGTTTCGCTTTCTTCAATTCTTTGTTGGTTGTTGTCTTGTTGATATGAGTTTTTTTTTCTACTTGGTTTTGATTTCTCGTTGTTCTTGTAATCTTGTTTGAATCAAAGGATGATGTTATTCTATATTTATTTAGCCATTTTCGATTTCATTTCTTTAGGGATTTTGGAAATTGCTAGACAACCTAGATTAAAAAAAAAAGGGATAGCTTTTATGCTTTTAAATTGCGACAGAGGCTATTACATGCTTCCATTTATCTGTTTATTTGCTAGATTATTTCTGTTTATTTAAATCAGCTCAATTATCTAATTTGCCTATGATTCTGTTAAGCATCACTTTTTACCTCGTGAAGTCAGTTTTGTGCAATTGAATTTGTGATATTTTTTTGAATGTGCGTGTAATTTGTGCCGCAGAAAAACTAGCTGCTAAGGTTACAAAAATATGTAATGACTCGTTTTCGAATGATGAAAAATCATAAAAATCAACTTATGTAGTTGCATTTTGTTAATCATAATGATACAATACATCGGTACTTCTTAGTTTACGTGCCCCCGATCTATGACTTTTCTGGATCTGCCACTGCAAACTAATGTTTTTTTTTTCATATCTGACTCCTATAATTATTGAAAAAGAAATATAATGAATCCATCGGAGATGCTCTAAAAAGTGATAAAAATCCCGTTGTGGTCACGGAGGATCAAATGCAATGACTCCGGACTATCTGCAAAGCAAGTGATCGTCCTAGGATTAGTCGGCTCACATAGTGGGTTGAATATCCAGGATAATAAAAAATAGTGATAGAAACAACTAAACAAAAAAATTTAAGTTTCAAAATTGGCCCCAAGATCATGCTCTGGTCCATGAAACAAAGAACATGGCATGCCTCCCTCCTATTTTTTTTTTAAATACAAAAGAAATTTTGAATTTTCTCTAGGGATATTTTAGTGATAGGTTCTATAAGATCTGAACGATTTTCGAATTGATCAGATCATGTATGAACATAGTTAATAATAGAGTAAGTTATAACACTTTTGGTCCTTGCAGTTTAAAAATTATAAGATGGCTATCAAGATTTGCAAAAGCGTCTGTATTTGATCCCTTCTTTTAACCCTCGTTAAAAAATTCATTAAATGAGACATTTTCC